AGAGAGAGAGAGAGAGAGGGGGGAGAGAGTTGACATTTACGCATGCGTGCTTGTTTTTACCGTGCTGCAGCATGTTTTCTTTGTTGAGATCAATCTCAATGTTGTCCTATCTTATATTATCACTCCTTATCTTATAATATCATAGCATATTTTGTTATCTTATATTACCTTATCAATCTGGTATTTTCAAATCTTATCATTATTACGTTCTTGCAGGAAAACCCTCCAAGCTGCTGAAACTTGACGACCATCAACGTTACCTGAGTCACAGCGTCAAACAGGTCTCCTCCCCACCATCCCCTGGCTCACTGATGCCCGTGCCCAGCTCACAGACAATTCTCTCAGCCACAGCCCCACCTTCTCTCTTTCTCCATCCCTACTCCCCCTACCACCTTTCCCCCCAACCCACAACACTTCTCCCCGTGCCACCAGCCCACCCCTACCACCCTCACCACCACCACCACCACCATCATCATCTACAACAAGCTCACACCGTGCAGATGGCAGGGCCTTTCCCGCCCCCAGCACACTTGCCTTTACGTCCTATGTCACAGAATTCTCGTGAGGCGAGTTCCATGCGTGTGGTAAATCCTTACATCAACCTACACTGCGAGGGAACCCAGGGTGTGAGGTATGCTCAGAATCTTCACGAAAGGAGATTTGAATCGCTTACGAGTAAACCTGTGGAGGACTCATTGTGCGCGGAGGTCAAAGACTACCGTTACGACGCCAGCCCAAGCGAGAGGGGTTCTCCGTCCAGTCACTCCGCCAAATCCCTGTCCTCTCCTTCCAGCAGTGATCAAAGCCCAACAACAACCCATCCTTCTTCGTCTAAATCCGGACGAGAGAGCAGCCCAGATTCCTCCCCGCCGTTTTCTTACTCTCCTTTCCCCCTCAAACGCTGCAAGACAGAGCCACCAGAGGACGGTAACGACTCATCCGCCCCCTGCGCATGTCAGGACTGTGAGTCCAGTACGCCACTAGCATGGACCTCCAACAGCGGCACTCCTCCATTATCTGCTAAGCCCTGGGCTGCTCGTTCAAAGTTTGCACCCGACCAAAAATATTACATTCTTCCCAATTCTCTAGAAAACAAAAACATAAGCTGGAAAGTGCAGTGCCAAGATTTGCGGTCGGAATGCAGTTAACTGCGACCATACTCTAGCCCTTTAAACAATTTCTTTGTAGCATTGAAATGAGTGAATTGTTTCAACTCCTGAATTGAAATTTCACTTTCTTCTCACTCATACCTGTAAATAATGTTGATCATGTACCTCTCCCCTGCTTTGGTAACTCTTTGCTGGTTTTTGTTTTTTGTTGTTGTTTTTTTGTTTATGCGTTTGTTTATTGTTGTCTTATTTTTGTTTGGCAGGTTGTGGGGTTGTTGGTTTTCTCTTTGTTGTTTTGTGGGGGGGGGGCGGTTAGGGAGGGGTCAGGGGTTTGTTTGTTTGTTTTCGAATCTGAAAAAATTTCAGAAATAATAAACTTGAAACTGGGAGTAATGTAACACAGAATTCTCTTAATTACCACTTTTCACACCAACGTAAATAAACAAAAATAAAGAAACAAACACACAAGCAAAAAGCAATTCTGGGGGAGGGGGAAAAGTCTGGCTTATTGATTGGTAAGAAAAGGGTTTGGATTTTTTTTTCGATTGGAATTTGTGTTTGTGTGTGCGTAGGAGTTTAAAGTTGAATTCATTTTCAATACAAATTCAATTCTTTCGCTGTCATATTATGTAAAAATAAAATCTTCCTGACTATTAGATAGCTCGTAGTCTATTATTATTTGATGATATGATTTCATGACATTTATTCCATAATACTGGGTACTGCAAATCCATTATTGCCCATTAAAAGGCAGCTTTATTGATCTCTCGGATTGTTATTTATTAATTGATGAATTGAAAGCGGAAAATACTCATTTATTAATGTTACATCAATTTATTGTTGGTTGCAAACTGTTCTATTATAATAGAATGATCTGTTTAGCTTAACTTTAAATAATAATGGAGGTGTCTATAGTCTTTGCTTTTTGCTGCTTTGTTAGTTTTTTCAAACTTTATTTTTTAATATTGTATTATTTATCAATTTTTTTTCAGAGGGCGTATTATTTTTAAATTGAAGTATAACAATGATTTGCCCTGCTGTTTCATGTTGATTGTTTGTTAAAGTTATTATTTTTTTTTTACTTTTTTTTTCTTTAGTAAGTTGTCAATGTACAGATCCATTCAAGTTTATTTATATCATTTTTTTTTGGGGGGGGGAAACATTTTCGGGGAGATGATTTCTTTGAGTTTGAAAACCCATTTCCATTTCGTATGCCGTCAGCGTGTCTTAGTATCTATTTTAATTGTTGATACTGTATATTATCTATTGTTGCTTACGTCAAATAAATTTGTTTACCCACTGCAACAAGTACTTAGATCTCATTTCTTGCACTTGTGTTAAGGGGGCTCTCGTGGCCTAGAGTTTAAGGTGTTGGCCTCTCATTCAAAGGTCCCGGGTTCGAATCCGGGTAGCGACCGAAAGGTCCCGGGTTCGAATCCGGGAAGAGACCAAAATATTTTCTTCTCTAAAATTGTCTCCTTTCACCTCCTTTCCTGCTCTCTAGCAATGTTCTGTCGTCTGCTTTCATTTCCACTTTCTGCCCCCACCCCCTCACCTCCTTTGCCCCCACCCCCTCATCCCCTTTGCTTCTCCTCTGGGTTCCTGACTCGTTCTGCAGCCTTTCTACTGCTACTCCTTGACTCCTCCTTACTGCTGTCTTTCTGCCACACCCCCGATCTTCTGGTAGGAAAGATCTACACCTAGCCTTCTCGGACAAGGGTGAAAAATCTCGGAGGGCCCGAGTGCAAGTAGCGCACGTTAAAGATCCCTTGGTGGTCTAAAATCGATAAGTGTAGGCTTCGGCCGCCACCCGGGCAAAATTCCAAATGTCCTACCAACTGAAAATATTAGGTGTGTCCCGCGCGCTCATAAGACCTTATGCAGTTGTGAGCGCCGTAAAACACTTAACAAAAAAACCAAAAAAACAAAAGAGTTATACAAACGTTTTTCATTATGAGTAATACGTTTTTGGACTAGAAGAGCTATCGGTGTTTGTGGTGTCCAGGTTAGTCACTTCTCTGTTGCACTCAGGAGACCCGAGCTGGATTGTCCAGTAAGGAGAACATTTGTGAGGCATCGTAGTGAAATCAGGCACTCGTCAAAATAATGAAATCAAAGGAAACTGCATTGTTCATGCCGCTTGACAATTTTTTTCAAATTTTCTTTCTTTTTTTTTTTTTTTTTTTGGCTCAACACCTTGTACGTCCAAGTAAAAAACATATTCAGGGTTGATTTTTCTGAAAAATTGATGATTGAAGGCACAAAAAAGTAAATTTTTATTTTCCAATCCAAGGTCTCTCTAGCTATGAGAATCACCAATCTTTGGCGTCTATTTTCTCTCTAATTTTACCTCTGAAACCAGGCGACCCTCCACCTCCTTCAATCAGAAATATCTCGACTTCTTTTTAAGATAGATGGATATTTTTTTTATATAAAGGTACACAAATGAACAAGCTTTAAGATGACATCAATAACTCCACATACCCAAAATTTGACGAGCGCCTGATTCCGCCACGTTGTGACACATTTTACCAAGTATCTCGGTCTTTCTGCTGGGATGTTGTACCCCTCTCAGCGTGGACTGGTCCTGATTGACAGATTCGGAGGCCTGCCTCCTAAATGATCTAAATTGTGTTAATGAGGGCCTAAAAATACATAGAAAAAAAGGGAAAAGGTCCATCATTTGTCTCAAGACTATGAAGTTACCACAACTCTTTCCAACAAAAGAACTAAGTGATGTCACTATTGTTATTTTTCTCACTCTGAAATCATTGGCCTGTTACTGTTCTCTTACTGAATATAGAAGATAGGAGATAAAATAAATACTGCTACATCTGTTTGTTGACGCTTCTACTGCGAGTTACGTTGCTGCTGCTGATAATGATAATGTTTTTGTTGTTGCTGTTGTTGTTGTTGCTGTAGCTGCTGCTGTTCTTCTTGTTGTTGTTGTCATTTTTGTTGTTGTTTTGTTGTTGTTGTTGTTGTTGACACCAATAGTCAGGGGCGAAGGCTGACTTGTTTGACAGGGTAATCAAAGTGAAACGGGACCAGATATGGCCTGTAGATATGACACAAGAATCTTACTCGAGGCGGCGACTCTGGAGTTGTGAATGAAAACAATTCGGAATTCATATTGTATGTTCAACCGCCAAAATAATCGGGAAAGTATCTTATTAAATTTCAGTTCCAACTAAAATTAAATTTAAA